ACCCTATACCTTATAAGGTATAGGGTTCAACTACTATAACTATTTAGGCCACTACTTTAGGCCCATGATCTGAAGACCGGGCCCACGATACTGTAATGATCATAATCAGGTAACTACTTAAGGACCCTGAATTAAGCCGTTATAATTATTTAGGCCCCTACTTTAGGCCCATGATCTGAAGACCGGGGATCCCCGCTTCGTGCAAAACATGTTCGCGATCGCCTGCAGAGCGCTGGGGCAGCGCGTGGGAAACCAGAAGCTCGGTTGCAGCTACGTTTAGGGTTTAGGGTTTAGGGTTTAGGGGGGCTTTACCGTTGCGGCTGGGGTTTGGGGTTTAGGGTTTCAGCACTCACTCTCGGACAAGCCTAGGCGAGGTTCCTGGGAGGGTTTAGGGTTTAGGGTTGTTTTGTGCTATTCCTGTGTCAGGGGTGTGGCATCTGTAGTTGGTCACTCGTGGTTCGGTGGACCCTAAGGGTCCAACTACCCAAACCGCCGGGATCTGTGTACCAAACGCATCCAGAGTACATTAAATTGCTTGGCCGTTGGATCTTCGACTCTAGACTAGGGCTCCTATGTAAAGCCCTGGAGCGCTAAACCCTAAACCCAAAACCCTAAACCCTAAACCCAAAACCCTTTTTTCACAAGGGACTCTGCTGCTGCCCTTACTGCCCAGAACCCTAAAACCCTAAACCCTAAACCCCTGAGCCTCGGACTTCCGCGAGACGACGAGAAACATGACCACAGTTTAGGGCTTAGGCATTCACTTGGGCTTCGGGTTTGGGATGTAATGCAGGGCCTTGATAATTAGAATAGGGTTTCGGGTTAAACTATGATGTATTTAAAGTAGGGAGCCCCCAAAACCTCATTCTAACTATTGAGGCCCCTATATGAGGCCTACAGTTCTGCAGCATCGGCACGATGCCAGAACATTCGAGGTTCTCCAAGGTCCTGAAGCACTTCTGACCGAAAGTACTGTAGGGGCCTTAATAATTAGAATAGGGTTTGGGGTAGATTATATTATACTATAATTATAGTAAGGAGCCCCCAGAATAGTTTAGGTAATTATTGAGGCCCCGATATTAGGCTGCTGGGCCTTTGGGGCTGGGTGAACTGTTGTTGGCTGCTCCACTCTTCAAGCAGCAACATCGCTCTCGCTCGGAAATTGAGATCACATGCTGTAAGCAGATGCACATAGTTGCGGTTGTTGTGTGAGATAATTTTTGAGAGTTGCTGATTGGCTCTGCTCGGAAAGATGAAACTAGCAAACCGGTTCACCGAAGCACCGACGAAGACCTCAGGTGCATGCATGCAGGGCATGGATACACCGCTTCAATTTGAAGGCTGAGTGCCAACCCTGCATGGCAGAGCATCCGGAACCTGAGACCCATGAAAAATCAACCCTGAAAATTCAAATCACACTTTAAAACGTTTTTCAGCACATAAACTACATAAATTACTAGAAGCAGACACCTGAGACAGTAAAAGCCTCAAGATTAGAGTCGACCTGCGTAGCACGTCTGAAACTGTGCAACACCTGCCTGGCACTGGCTGCCCTCGACCTAGAGACATTAGGGTTTAGGATTCAGGGCTGTTGGGAGTTGAGGATCTGCATGAAACTCCGATAAAACAGTGATGAGCACCATAAAATCCTCATGTAGCCGTTCTAGGGGTTGGGGTTTAGCAGTTACAACTTGAAGGGTTTATTTCACGGCCTACTTGCTACTAACTCGGTTCTTGCAGGAGTCGGGTCTCGAGGCGCGCACAGCTGCATCCGGTGGGGGGGGGGGGGGGGGGGGNNGGGGGTTTCGGTGAAACAGGACTCATTCGTTCTGATGCGAAGCCATGACCCAGGCGTCGGCAATTGGAGTAGCGGCACTCATGATGGCAGCAAGCACAGGCATCACAACAGCAGCGGTGCAGGCAATGGAGCCTGTAATGGCTATGGCACTGTAACTGTCATTGTTGCTGCTGTGCACACAGGTGCGATTGGGCAGTGCCGCCACCGTCGGAGAAGAGTCTCAACAAAATCACAACTGACCATCGAAGACACATACTACGGTTCCTTGAGCGAGTGAATATGTGCGGTTGCAGTTGCTTGTTGTTGTTGCTGCGGCTGTTATTGTTTTCGCTAAATAGGGCTGCAAACACCGGTGCCTATTGCCATTGTTGTTGGCATGGTTCCCAGCATGATGAGTATTGTGAATACAGGTGGAAGTCGCTGACGATCGAGCAGGCCAAGGTGGATACATGAGCAGAACAAACGGCGTTAGACAGTTTAGCGTGAAAGGGTTCCAGAACATACTGTATATATATATATACATATATATATACATATATATATATATATATATTTATATATATATATATGATGCTATAAGAAGAGCTAATTTGGGTTCAGCTCAAGCATTTGAGTCGGGGTCTGGGGCCTTTGGGGGCGGGGTTTGGGAGCGAACGGGACGAACCACAGTGACGGAATTCTTCGTGGTTTTTGCATCATGTTAATAGTCTCGAGAAGGACAACCGATGTTAGATGCAATTGTGAACATCGGGAACAGCGCACGAAATCAGCAGGGTAGAGAGAACAGGCTTTTGCGCAGCATAAGCAGTGAGACGCACACAGGCACATGTCTTACAGGGATCCTGCGCTAGCTAACATGCAGACCCGGAGTACATGCGCTAACATGCAGAACAAGAGGATGAGGAAGCTCGGGCGCCCGACCGGCTGGCCCTGTTGAGTGGCGGGTATGTACCCCTGGCCCTGAACCTCGGGATTATACACAAAGCTGCTTGTGACCAGGGAGTGACATACATCTTCCGTAGAATCTCAGAAGCTCCCAGACAGAACTTGTAAACCTCAGGGCCTGAGTCACCTAGCCCAAGGCAATGTTCAATTCTTTTACTTATGCTACAAGTAGGGTTTTTTGAACACCCAAGGCTAGCGATTGCTCTGATCCCTAAGTCCGAAGACACCAAGCCCCAAAGCATACGAAAACAGACCCTTATTTCTGAACCCGTGCGCTGCAAAACTGATGCCCAAATGTGTCAGCATGGGACATCTGCAGAGAACTGGCTAGGCTACGACTTATAGTCATAAAAGTAGCATGGTTATCCGTATTTACCCATATCACGGCGTAGAACAACATCGTTGATCAATCTCACTAGCCTGCAAAACCCCTACACTTTCAGTGCTACTCTGTCAGGATGCGGGCAGTTCTCTAAACTGGGATAGCCTTTTTGGCTCCCCCAAATAGTACGGCACCCTTATAAACAGGACCCTAAAAGGACCCTACTTTATTGAACTACCCATGTGCCCTGGATAGTAACGCAAGGGAGCTGAGACGTATGCATCTATCGCAGTGGAGTACGGATCACCGGCAAAGCCTGCAGCTGCAAAAAAAGCTATTTGACGGCTTAGGGTTTAGGGCTTTAGGAGTTTTAGGGGTTTAGGGGTTTAAGGTTTAGGGTTTAGGGGTTTAGGGGTTTAGGGTTTAGGGGTTAAGGGGTTTAGGGGTTTAGGGTTGGTGTTCGGGTTTAAGTGCTTTGGCGATCACACTCTCGGACCAGCCAGGCTAGGTTGTTGGCGCGTTGTCGGACGAGTCTTAAGCAGAAGCCAGTCCCAGGAAAATTAAGTAGTATATGCAAGCCCATGGCAGCCTCCTTCAGGCATAATCATAACGAGGAACCCGGATCGGCGCAAAAGTACAGGGTACACTGCTTTTGTTTGCCTCTGCTTGTTTAGAGGTCAGACGAGACCACTAATAAAGGGGCTTTAATGACTACCTATATTATTTTGGGGGCTCCTTGATATATTGACACTATAAAGGCCCCCAAAACCCTATTCTAATTATTACGGCCCCGATATTACATCTGTTTCAGAAGCTGAGGTCCGAAATGGCCCCTGAGGGCCCGAAGCTTCTGGCATTCGGGTGCGTCCTCGTTGCCACAAGAGCGCACAAAGACACAGCTTAATGCTAAAGGGCCGCTGGAGTCTCTGGAAACGAAAGATTAGCGAGCCGAGCCTTACAAACTTCAAAGCAAGATTCTCAGCGAAGCATGTGCACCGATCCAATCCTAAGGCAGCCTTTCGCCCTGTTTAAGGCTTGAAAGCTGGTAACATGCCGCTGAACTACCGGTAACACTTTTTGAGCTACTGTAAGCTTCAGGAAAGGAACCTTTCCTAGGGACTTTTGGGAGGTTTCGGGCTTGGATGGCTTTGAGGTTGAGGCTTTGGGGTTCTAGGGCGTAGGACCTGCTTTAGGGCTTCGTGTAGGAGTGCTGCAAGACCCTTGAAGCCCAGTACCCTGGCCCCAAAAAGCTTAAACTTTTCGTTTAGTAGGGGGTTTAATATACCAAAAAGTTTAAAGTTTTCCTACTGGGCTCCTAAGAGACTTAGACTCGGGCTCGAAAATGGGAATCGTCAATTGATGGATTTCTGCTGACGCAGTGCAGGTTGGGTCTGTGGGGGTTTTAGATTGTGATAATAAAGGGAGCCTTAGGACTTAGGAATAGTACTAGTATTCGCAATTGTTGAAGCTTCCAAAACATTTATGAATTGTATTATTAGGTCTGCAGTTTAGGATTTGTAGTTTACATCAGTACCCCAGCCCGAAGAAAGCTTCACCTTTTATGTGAAGTAGGAGTTTGTGTTGGACCCTAAACCCTAAACCCGATTCATATACAAGTTGGACAAAGGCCCAGAAGGCTGCCTTGCTTGGGGCTGTGGTTTGGAGTTCCCGGATCTAGGCGGAACACGCAGACCTGCGTAGAATGGACTCTGGGAGTATGTGGTGACGGCACGGATGCCTAGCAATCCGTGTTCAGCCCGACTCAATGCTAAGGGGGCTGCGTGAGTCCTACCCATAGGCCCCATAGTAGTTCCTTTTTGGGGTGCATATATAGAATTCTATAAGGCAACCCCAAAAAGGAATTACTATGGGGCCTATGGGTAAGTCCTAACTCCCTTTTAAGTAGCATGGGCTTGGATTGTGTGCCCGCGAGCACTCCGCAGAAGCTCAGCCTTCGCGTCTCTCACGACCGAATGAGTGACAAAAACAACAGAACGAAACACTCGGCGACAGTCTCCAAACCTACATATCGCACACCCTTCATGAGGCATCAGTAGAAATCGGACAACAGGGAGTCCTAAACCCATAAGCCCTATCCTCAACCCTATAATGGGCTGGATCTCAGGATTTGAGCTTCATCGGTGAAGGCGTCGGGCTTGGGGTTCAATGTGTTAGGGTTTAGGGGTTTAGGGTTTAGGATGGTTTAGGGTTTGTTTTGACACTCACACTCGAAAAAAAAACCAAACCCCATAAGCCCCATAAACCCCAAACCCTAACACAAGGGTTTAGGGGGTTTAGGGTGGAAATTTGCAAGCCAGGCCTTGCAACAGGAACCCAAAGGACGACCGGGAGAGTCGTTCCAGACTGAAGCAACTAGCCATAGGCCCCATAGTAGTTTCTTTTTGGGAGTACCTTATAGGGTTCTAAGTATGAAGCCCCAAAAAGAAACTGCTATGGGGCCTATGGGTAGCCAACCCCCTCAGGTTCGCGAACCACCGCGGAGTTGGCAGGCTTTACTCCTCATTGGCAAAACTCCTCCTACCCCAGCAGCCATATGGGTAGTTTTCTAAATTAGGATCACTTTTAGGGTCCTTTTTTTATAAGGGTGCCGTACTACATTGGGGACCTAGAAGGGGACCCTAATTTAGAGAACTACCCATATGCCCCGAAACCAGCTCAGCAGCCTGGACTTCCAGCTGCATTTTGCGAGACTTCGTGGTAAGCATACACGTTCCCCTGCGGATCAGGGTGCGGTGGTTATAGGGACTCTAGAACAGAGGGTTCAGGGTCTAGGGCACAGGGATTTAAGGTTTAGGGTTTAGGGTCTAGGGTTTAGGGGTTCAGGGACTTAGGGTTTCGGAGGGTCTAGGGTGCAGGGATTACCAGATTCGGGCGTTGGCTTCATTGTAATATTGCAGACCCTATAAACCCTAAACCGTACCCTAAACCCTTTTTTTTTTGAACCCAGACTCTGCCACCCTAAACCCTAAACCCTAAACCATTTCAGGGCTGTGCTCGGTGGCCGAACACCCAAGCCCCACACTCTGAACCCCAAAGCCCGAAACACTAGGCCTGAAAACCCTGCACCCTCAACATCCCAAGCCATACGGTTGATGATATATATCCGGCACTACCCATAATAAGGCATATACCATAATTCCCAAAGTTTAGGGTCCTATAAGGTAATGCAGGGATTATTTCATCGACAGTATGAACCTTCTAGAAGCAGGTCAACCTAAATCCCCAACCCTGAAAGCCAGCTCCTAGAAACCTTATACCAGAACCGAGGTGGACCTTTCAGCAAGCTCGGAACGGAACGTTCAGGTTTCTATCCGTCGGCTCAATTCTTACGGCCCTCGAAATTACAGGGTTCAAGGTTTTGGGGCTTGGGGTGCAGGTTCAGGTCTGGTTATAATGTAGCAGCCTTCATACTCAGAATAGGGTTTTGGGGCCCGTCCCAGTAGAGTATAATCATAACAAGGAACCCCCAAAAGAGTATAGGTAATTATTGAGGCCCTCCACATTTTTTCATACGAACTTGTTTGTCGTATATCCTAAGCTGACTCTGCGTAGCTTCGGGTCCCTGTTTCGGAGTTGCTCGGGCGTGGTCTTCACACTGGGCCTTTACATTAGAACCACAAAGAAAGTAAACTCTAAACCCAAACCCTAAACCTTAAACCCTAAACCCTAGACCCTAAACCCTAACCCTAAACCCTAAACTATAAACCCTAAACCCAAACCCTAAACTCTAAACCAGACTTGGGGTGTTGGGTTCTACGGTTCCAGGTGCACTTCCGTATGAGTCTTGGGCCGCTTCTTGTGCTAAATGCCGTTGGGTAATGGGGTCTTGGGGCAGTAAAGCGCACGAAACAGCCTCAAACAGACGAAAAAGCCAGATTCTGGCCAAATCCCCCCTAGGACGGGGTCTGTCAGTGTTTCGGGTCTTTATTTTCGGATTGAAGGCTTGAGGCTTTAGGACTTATAAGCCCTAATATCTAAACCCTATAAACCGTCTCAAGGTGCATTCCTGAGTTCAGGTCGTCTCGAGTCTCCGGGTACACCCCTCAAATCTCTTAGCGCTGAATTCGGAACCGATTGTTTGTAGGATCTTAACATAGACGTCGTGTATATCTAGCTTCTACTATAGGCTCTACAAGAAAGTAGCTTTTGGTAGCGTAAGGTAAACCCTAAACACAACTTCATGACTACAGTTGCTTTTGTAAGACATCCCTTCCAGTCGGTGGAAGCGGTTGCACTTGAGCGGGGTCCAAAAAAACATTTTAAATCCCCTAAACCCTAAACCCTAAACCCTAAACCCTTGGCACTTCTCAGAGCTTCAAACCCTAGCGGTAGCGTGTTTCGGATCGTTTTGGGGCGCGCAGCTTCGGCGAAGCCAACTCTCCCTCGCGCGCAGGTCCTGGTTGCAGCTTTAAGCCATTCCGGGCCCGTTACCCTTTTACCCTTTTTACATCTGGACTTGATGAATGGCCCTGACCCTAAACCCTAAACCCTAAACACGCACTTGTTCAGCTCCTTCTCGCGGGAGACTGCATTTCAGCTGCCATGACAAGCTGCAGAAGGCCGCTGCCCGAGCTGTGACCATGGCATGGGTTTGTGGCCCCTGTTGCTAAGACTGCCACACGACAGGGATGGGGATATGGTCGAAGATGGCGGCTGTCCCTTCCTCCGACCTTGCGCACGCTTTCTGCACGCCTTGTCCACAGGTTCGAAACACTATGTTGTGCGCGGTGCGAGTACTAAAGTATTCTTTGTGGTATCCGTGGCAGTCGCAGCAGTCGTCGTTGTAATCGTCGTCGTCGTAGTACTAAAAAACACCACAGGTACAGCAACAACAAACGACAAAACCTTAGAACCCTTAACCCTACACATGCCGAACAAACCAACCCTCTGAACATCTCCAAACCAGGCTCCTAGACGCCCTTGCGCACAGTCGTTACATGCTTCCGCGCATGCGAGTGTTATGTAGCCTTGTGCGTTGTTGGAGGGTTTGATCTCTGCTCACTTGCGCTGTAAGTACAGTCATCAGTGGGATGCACAGGGGCTTTCATCATTAGACGACTTGAGGGGGCTGGCAGATTAGTATCATCTTCATTCTTTTAAACATGCGGGGATAGCACGGGGGTATTGTTGCATACTTCCATGTTACTCCACCCGAAACCTGAATCGCACAAGGCAGCTTGTATTCGCCTGAGGGTTTGATGCATCCGGCCCGTATGTCCTTATTTGGCGCAAGTCGCGTCTTGGCTTGCGTTGGGTGGGTGCGGATTGAGGCTTGGAAACTGGGGCTTAGGGTTTCAGACGGTTCAAGTGTTGCGGGGCGTTGGGTTAAGAGTTACCCAGAGACTCTAAAAACCCTTATTTAAGGAATATACCTTAAATCATATTAAGGATCCTACTATAATTTAAGGAATGTTCCTTAATTGAGGGATATTGGAGCCTCTGGGTGAGAGTGGAGCTTGGGATTGGGCTTTCTTGCACACCTGGAGCAGGGCGGAGTTCGGGGTTCGGTGTTTAGGGAGACTCGGTTCTTCGCCGGACCGCTCTGCGGCTTAACAGGCTTAACTGCTTCAAACGGATAGAATAGAGGATCTCTGCGTAGTGTTTCGGGTTGCTCGTGCGGATTGATTGCTCTTTTTGCTTTGGGCCACCTAATTGCCGGCGTTGCGGGATTGACGAGAGAGCTTTGGGGCGCTTTCATTGCTCTTATTCCCTTCCCGACCATGACTTGGAGCCGGTCTGTTTTGACACTGGTCCGCATTGAGGAATCTAGCTGGGGAGCCGAAGAAGAACCGACACATGTGTAGGCAACTCTATGACGTCCTGCATGTCCTCGCAGCAAATTGGAGAGAACATGGCTCGTTGACTTAATTAATAAGGACCCTGGCAGTGGCCAAGCTATCATGTAATATGTAGCCAAGCGTCCCTTAATTATGCCAAAATTGTGCATGCGAGTGTTTCTTGATTGGGTTCTGGGGTTTACCTGCGCTGCTAGTTATACCGGCGGACTATATACACTGCAATAAGGGGAAAGCATGGATGCGTGGGTTTCGGGCGAGAGGCATGGTCGAGTTAGTCTGCTTCTCCACTATCCCAGGAAGGCAAGGTTTAACTTTCGGCATACTACTACCTTACAAGAACCGAAACAATTCAAAAGTTTATATGGGGGAACGAAGCATAGAAACCCGTAACATCCACAAGCCCCTCTGCAACCCCTTAAGAAGCAGTATCAAGCTTCATGCAACCTAAAGCTAAAGGAGAATTTAAACTGATGCCAATGAGCTCAGGAGGTCCCACGTCTTCAGGTGTTTTGAGCTTGCTTTCTGGTCTTCTTATTGGGGGTCTAGGGTTTGGGTCTAGAGCCCTAAACCATAAACCTCTAAACCCCAAACCCTAAACCTTGTAAACCCTAAACTCTAAACCCTATTTAGGGCTGTGGGCAGCAAGGCCGAAATCTCTGCCGTGTTGAGAGACATCCGAGGGCGTGGCGTGCGGCCACTGTTTACCATGGCGCCTCACAGTTTAGGGGTTGGGGTTTTAGGGTTTAGGGGATAGCTTTAGGAGCCCCTTCCGGTTTCGCGTCTAAGAATTCTGTTTACGTCTTCTTCTATGGCTGGGTATGAATTAGGCCCAAATTCTATAGGGGTCCATGTACCTCAATATAGTAGGCTGCTATGTAACCCAGTAACTTGTTTAGGTAACTGGAGCCCTAAGGTAATTCTGACCTGATCAGACTCCCTAAGCCCTAAAACTGAAACCCTTCAATGACTCTCCCCTTCAATGGCTTAGGGCAGTTTAGGGTTTAGGGGATCCGAGACCCTAAAGCCTCTAATGATTGGATTCTGGGGTTCCTGGTCTGCTGATGTCCATGCTGTTCCGATTTTGCCGGCAGCCGGGTCAAGCTGGAGAACAGCGAGCCCACTCGAATTTTCCTGTTAGAACTACAAGCCTTTGGGTATACTATTCTAATGTTACAAGGGGGCAATATCAGAGGCTATTCAGTCCCCTACAGTAGTGTCAGCTGACTGGCTCAACGGCACGTTTCCCTCAGACATGAGTGGCAAACCGCGATATAAGTTTTCCTGTGCTAGGGGGAGCTGATACTCTGACATCGACGGCCCTTAGAAGAGAAGGTGGAACACCTCTTAAAAACGTCCTGTTCCAAGTTCCAGGACGGTCTACCCCGAAACCGCCCAAAAAGAAAAAGCTACATCCCGAAACGCTAATCCCTGAAGCCCCAAACTCCAAAACCCCGGTCCTTTGCATAAAATTTCTTAAAGGAACCCCCTAGCGGACCCACTAAACCTTGCACACATGACTCGGTTAAGGTTTAGTGTTTAGTGTTTAGGGTTTAGGGTTTAGGGTTTAGGGTTTAGGGTTTAGGTTTAGGGGACTCGCTCAGCTAAGACTCCGGCATCCGAGACCCAAGGCGAAGCTTTGCTCTGCAGACCCGAACTGAGTATCTGCTAGTGTTAGGGTCTGCTGCTTTTGTTGCTACGTTTTTGTTAGCATTATCAGTATCACAAGTAAAGTAAAACTATTTATGCCTATTTCTTGTTGCTACTGGGTCATTATAGCTTCAGTACTGTGACCATGACGGTTATAGATCATATTAGTACCGTCGTTGTTGCTGGAATCACTGGTGCTGTCTTCGGTCTGCAACATCCATGGCTTCCTTCCAAGATCTGCATGTTGCAGACATCAGGATCTACTAGTTAATCTATTAGCCACTACAGCTCGGCGGCTTCGCATGCAGGCATGCATGTTTCTGAACCGATGCGATCTGCTCTCTTTGCTTGCCAACAGTACGCTTACAAGATTGCTCCTGTCTGGGTGTTGGCTGCTGGCACACTGCAAGAGGTCGATGGTTGAAGCCAAGCCAGACAGCGTCGCAAGAGCATCTGCTGGCAGTACCGCTGAAGAACCCGCTCCGGCACAAGGCTTCCAGAATAGCAACGCCCGGAGCCACGAATGAACAGCCAAACATGACAAGACAAGTTTGAACACAGACTGCAAGAAACAACAAGTTGCAACAGGACCACAGAGGTTTTGACGGAAAGTGCCACAACAAATTCTCCTGGCTCCGCTCTGCTTCCCCTCTGCTGAACCCAAATCCTGAACCACCCTCTGCGCAGTGCTTCTTTGCAAGCGATGTGAAAGCTGGTCCAGAAGGGAGGAAGCAAATCTCCCCCATCAGTCATTCCCACACATTCCATGCTTATCCACTGCCTTTCCGGCGGTTATACGACAAAAATCTGCTATATACGACCCTGGCAAACCAAGAAAAAACCAACAACAGGCTCCACAAGACTTCCCTGTGCAGAAATGCTTACCGACCAGTCAACAAGCCAAAGTGAGCCCAAGAGCTAAGAGCTTTGTTGTAGTTGCTGAGTTCATCAGCCGGACAAATTGCGGACACTTCTCTCGGGGCTCATAATATCCCAAAAGGTGTAAAGCGCACCCACTCAGCTGCTGAGTTATACAACGGGCCGGCGGCAGCGACCAACATTTGTGGGTGTGTATTCATAATTGTGCGACCTGCGCGGCTAAGCTAACTGCGCATGATCCATCGAATATGTGTGCGTGTGTGTGTTGCATGTATATATTTTGTTCGTGTATAATGATAGCAACAATACAACAGTTCACATCAACCAAAAAACGAATGAGTATGTGAGTAGATTATAATGATGCCATGGCTCGCTGAAGAGGGGACTTGCTCTCCTGAACGGGCTGGGCCGCCGTAGCTGGCGCCACTTCTTCGTGAACGACGAAAAAAATCCGCGTCGCTGCAGTTACTGTACTGTAGGGGCCTTAATAATTAGAATGGGGTCTTGGGGGCCGGTATACTATAGTTAGGTAGTTACCTAGACCCCTAGGCCCCACACCTTTCAAGGCCAAACGAAAAGGCCCATATATAGACAAACCCTAAACCCTAAACCCTAAACCCCAAACCCCAAACCCTAAACCGACTCCCCTTCAAGCCGGAAAGCCGTAGAGCCGCCCAAACTCTACGGCAAATCCAGACTTGGTTCTTAGGGTTCAGGGTTTAGGGGTTTAGGGTTTATCGGCTTTAGGGGTTTAGGGTTTAGGGTTTAGGGTTTAGGGTTCAGGGTTTAGGGGTTTAGGGTTTAGGGTTTAGGGTAGAAGAACTTATGGTTTAGGGCTTAGGGTTTAGGGTATGAAGCGTCTTCTGGGTTCTTATAGTCACCGGTGGCGGTGGCAGCGGATTTTTCGAGCACAGTGATCTCAAAGTCGATGACTCCAATATCCTAGCACTCCTTTATCTTACGGTGGAGTTTTGAGGGTTGAGCCCTAGAAGCCCTTTTTTTGCATCTGGTTTGCACCCCTAGAAGCCCTAGAATTGCCTCAACCTCCAGCCCCAAACCCAATGCGCCATCCTGAGCATTACGCCCTCAATCTGGGACCCTGATACAGGGGTCGGAAGACCTGGCGAGAAATGATAACCGTATCCCAATGGTCCCTATTTAAAGCCCTAAGGTCCCCCTACTAAACGCTTGTCTGGCATCCTGATCCCAACACCCTGAAAGCCCTAAACACCCAAACCCCAAAAGCCCTAAACCATATGAACCCTTGAGCCAAAATAGAGCCCCTGTTGAAACCGTGAGCAATTCTGGAAGCCTTACGATTGCAGAACCCCTTTTTGGGAAGTCCTTATACCTCGTACTTATGGAACCATGTACAGACCCTACACTAAACCCTAAACCCTAGATCCTCCCCTAAACTAAACCTTGATAGTATTACAGAACCGCTATGGGGGTTTCCGAAAATAGGGGACCCTAATATAGTACCCCAAATAGTAGGATCCTTATTATAAGGACCCCCAAAATAAGGTACCCCTAACTTTCGGAAACTCCCCTAAACCCTAAACCCTAAACCCTAAACCCTAAAACCCTAAACCCTATTACAGAACCGCTATGCGGCCCCACAGCGCTTTGGAGTCACCCGAGATCCCGGCACGGCATGGTAAGGCTCTGAAGCGCTTTCGACCCGATGCCGGCTGGTGATATAAGGTTTAGGGTTTAGGGTTTAGGGTTATATCGGGACCTGTAAAGTAGAACGTGTTATGAGGTTTAGGGTTTAGGGTTATAAGGGGACCTGAAAAGTAGAATGAGGCTTGTTGAGTGTTCAAAGAGTCTCTTAGGGTTTTAGTCGGGCTGTATGATATATCGTGTCATGGAAACAAAAGGGCCCCAAAAGGGATAAAGGTCGTAATCGCACAATATTCCATAGAGCTTTTGGGGCAGACCACATATTATTCAGGACCTTTTCCGGGGGGCACTGGCAATCTGATTCTCGGCTTCAGGGCCTCCATGCAGGACTTTGCGTGCCGACGCTGCGTTGTCTCGATTTAGTCTCTTCCCATCACCTCAACCTTAAACCACAACCCGAAACTAGGCCCTAAAGCCTAAACCCGAAAGAACCCTAGACCCTAAACCCTAAATGCTCCCTAAACCCTCCTCCAACTCCCCTGTCCAGACGTCTGATGGTGGTGGGGAACTTGAGGCTGTCTTGGAGTTTCCGAGCACTGGGCGCCTTGGTTTCGGGTTGAGGTGTTCCAATTGGGGTTAGGGCTGAGGGTTGAGGGCCTAGGCTTAGGGGATACTTGGAGGTGTAGGGGCTTCGGGGTAGGGTTGAGGGCTGAGGGTATAGGACCCGTGGGAGATTGGAAAAAAGAAGGGCCCTCCGCATTCGACGGAAACTCTCTGACGAGCATCTTCATTTCCGCTTCTCCAACCCAGCTCTTCGCAACTCAAGGTCTGAGTTTAGGGTTTACGGGCTTAGGGTTTAGACCTTACCAGCCCTATTGTAATAATTAGGGCTGAGGATTTCGGACAGAAGATTTGTTTAGTATCCCGCCGCTCTTTTGGGTTTCTTGTTAAGACTTCTTTATTTATGTCCATCAAGAGGACAGTTTTGGGGGGCTTAAGCCCTAAATCCCAAGCCCCAATCCCCTAAAATCGAAACCCCAAGCCCTTTTCAGCATGGCCCTAAACCCGTAAACCTTAACCCCTAAAGCCCCCACCCTGGACCCTAACCTCTAAACCAGTATGAACCCTAAACACCCAAACCCCTACCTCAAGCTCTTTTCAGCATGACCCTGAACCCCAAAACCTAAACTTTTTCAACGTGGCCCTAAGCCCTAACCCCCAAACCCCTGAACGAAGGAACCCTTATTCATAGCTGTCCCTAGCCGTTCTGCTTGGCCGGCCGTTCTACTGCAGATCGTCGTTCTGCTTCGGCTTCTGGGTTGGGGGCACATACTACCCATGTTTTATTTTTATATTTAGTGATGTTCCTATCTTGGCATACTGGCTACCAGAGGCCACTATTAAATCCCCAGGCGGGGGGGATACACATCCCTGAAGCTTCACGTAGCTTCTCTCACGGCCCTGTTTTCCGCACCCGCACACCGGTCACCGGACGGTTCGCCGCTTCTTCGGCCCACTCTCGGCAGCCATAGCCCAAGTCCAGCACATATACCAGGCCTGAAGCTGCGATCTCTTCTTCGCCGCGAGCTTGGAGATGCAATCCTTGGAGGTCTCGATGCTCGCTGCATCCACGGCCGGATTGTAGGATGCACTGGTGCTGGCCCTGAGTTGCACAAACTCGCAGCCTGCATCTCTCGCAAAACTCAAAACTCGGCCACACCTGGGACCACCCAATGCTTCTCACAGTGTCCCAAAACCAAGAGAATCAAGCTAAAGTGTAAACGAGCATCTTTCCATCATGCATCCTGCCACTGCCGAGGCGAACCTGAAAGTGCGGCAGAGTTCGCCCCGTGTGCACGACATGCACGACCATGCAGCTGCTGGGCATCTCGTACTTCTCAGCGAGCCAGGCTGGCACAGCATCCACAGAGGAGAGTGCTCTTCTGCTCTCTCGCAGCCGCTCTCCCTGGCCCTCCTCGTCGGCAGCAGTGGCCGCCTCAGCACCCTCAGCAGCGGTCGCACCGCTGCTGCTCGCCGCACCGCCATCTTCTGCGGTCGCACCGCCAGCTGCTGGACCCGTGTCCTATGATTCTGCGAGCTCGGGTGCTTCAGGAACAAGCAGCTCCGTTTCAAGCTTCCCAGGAAAAGCCTTAAAACAACAGGTCAAATCCACCAAAATTATTTCTAGCATTGCAATGGGCCTCTTCCGGCTCATTCTCTTCCTCCTCCTCGATCTCTTGCAGCCGCTGCTGTGCGAAGTGAGCTGCCGGATCATCCATCTCGCCGAAGTTCTCGTCCGGCACCTCTTTAGTGTAGTGAGCAAAAGGAAGAATCGGAAGCCCAAACACATGGAGGGGTTGCAAACCTGCAGACTCCGGATATCAGGCCGGCCTCTTGGTCGCTTCCATCATCCTTCTCGGCTGCCGCCTTGTCCTTTTTTCGCTTAGCATCCAGCTCGGTGAGCTTCTTGTCCAAGGCCTCCAGCTGCTCTGCTGTGCATGCTGCAGCCACCTGTTCCAGCTTCATCAGCTGCCGGATCTTGAAAGACTTTGTGCTGTTCTTCCGGGTCGCCACACCATGTCG